CAATGGATATGATTTTGCCTTCCTTGTAACTAGATTTGTGAATCCCATCTAGTGAACTTGTAGGAGCAAACCAGAAGAGGAGAGGTAAGGGAGAGAGTCACCTCTGAGAAAGGGTGATTGGTCAAAAGAGAGAATGTCACTGGCCAGTGGGAGGCAAATTAGTCAGGAGAGAGAATGTCAGCGGTGAGAGGAGAATTTGAAGAAAAGGTTGCTGGTGATTTGTGACAAGGCAGAAGTAGAGGAGAAGAAGGGTGGATTTAGGAAATTTAATCCAATCCCCTCTTCTTCTTCTTCTTCTAAACAGGACAAAGGAAGGCACAATCCACTAGTGATCTTCACTTGAGCAAGGGTCTCAAGCATTAGGTCGAGGCGTGGGGATTAATCCAATCCCCTCTTATTCCATAGGTTTGATGGGATTAAATTTATTTAGCAAGCAATAGATTGGATAAAATGTTGGATAATGATTATCTCATCGCAAGAATTCTCCAAACATGAGATTAGGAGGGAGAGAATAAATTTTTTATCCAATCCTACACTTCATCCGGTGCTCCAATCGCACCCTTAAAGAATGACATCTCTTTGCTAGATCATCATGCTCAAACTACACTAAAGGTACATGTGATAAAGGAGGATTTACAAGATTTTTCTTAATGCGAAAACAAAAGCAGCATTCAAATCTACTGATGTTTGCCAAAACACAAGCCTTGAATCATTATGTATCCATGCAAGATTTATAGCCATTTCTATATTTCGATACTAATGAAACAATACTAGAAACTGATCATAGCATTTAATATTATTTTAATAAAAAAACAAAACCTCTTATTTACACATTTTATATTATTATTTTTTGTATTCAACACTTCCATAGTTCAAAACTAACGTAAAATCCCAAAGGTTAACAGGCACGTCGAGTGCCTCTGACGTGGACGATCAATTCCGTTAATGATTGATGACTTGTCAGGCCTCTGTTGACTTGGATAAACTTTATCTTAGGTGGCTTTTTATTGACGTGGCACATGAGTCCCGCATCTGGAATTTCGTTATAGTCCCAAAATTTATCAAAATTTGAATAAGATTGGTCCTTTTACATTGTAAATTTTAAACTAGTAACCCACCTCAAAAGAAAACAAACTTTACCCATGTGAGTGCATAGATCTTTTCATCTTCCCAAGCTTATTGGTTTGAAAAATCATAAGTAAATTTGTTTGAAATGCATGACTGGGTTTACTTGTTAAAGATCTGTTTTAAAACCACAACATGACTTGAAGCAAAACTAAAATTGCCATTAAATATTTTATTGTTAGGATATTTTGTTTCAATTTCTGATTGCAAATTCAACAAAGACAAGGCTAGAGACGTAGATTAAAGTGAAAAGAGAAGACATATAGTTCAAGAAACAGTGTGTGGTTTTGGGCGAGAAATAGGTCCAAACCCGATCCGAAGCTTGGCGGTCACATGGTTCGCTGAACGAAGGCGCAATTCAGACAGGAGGATCGTCAAGGCCCAAGCAAATAGACGGTGACATGACATCAAATCGATGAGAAACTGTTCGCAAGAGTATAAAGCTAGAGCGAAGAGAAATAGAAAACAAGAAGAAACAAGATGAATCACCCGATATCAAACGAGGAAGGTGCCCAAAAAAACCAGCGATGGCATAAAGATAAAAAATGCTGCGACAGAAAGGGATCAGAGCAGTTCGATTGGAGCTCACCCACTCTGATGTTATATGGGTTTCAAACCCATCTGCAAACCCTAGATCTTCAATAGGGGGGAAACTTGTTCCTTAAACAAATTGAGGAGGACAGTTTAGTCCTTTCATTCTTTTTAACAATTATTTTATTTTAAAATATTGTTGTTAGTTTTTTCTTTCTTCGGCCAGGATGACGTAGGTCAGTTAATTGG